GAAGCAGGCCTGTACTTTGTATGTTCACAAGCCAAGCATCCACCCTTTTCTGCAGTTAGTTTTAGTGAAGGATGAGACTACTGTTGAAGACAATGAAGAGATTTTGCAGTGCTGCTAAGCTGAGATTGTAGTAACAAGAGCCCAGGAAAGTCATGCATACTTTCCTGGGCTCTTGTTTTTCTTGCTTGAATTTGTAGCTTGTAACTAGAACCGTTTCAGCTAGAAATGGAGTGGAGTGGGAAAATTGGTTCAGTCATTGCTTCAGCAACTGATAGAGCTGGTGTCCCAGGTCCTGAGGCACAGGGAGTGGCAGGAGGGCCGGGGGTGGTGGCACTGGGGTGGTGGTGGGGCTGTCTGAGGGGGTGGAGAGGCTTGGGAAGGTGGGTCTGAGTGCCGGCTGGAGGCTCTTTAGAAACGCAGGCAAGAGGAAGATCCTCAGGAGGGTTACTGACAGATGACAGTGGCCTGGAGGTGGCCCTGGGAGCCGGTAGAATCTTGGCTGGAAGCAGGAAGGGCTGCGGCAAGGGTGTGGTGCACCAGGCCTTCCCTATTAATTGAAGACATCTGTTGTGTGTCTACCACGAATCGGGTGTGGGAACAGGGGAAATGGAGGGGAGCGAGGGGGTAGAGAGTGTGAGATGGAGTACAGAGTCAGGGAAGAGGGGAGGTTGGGGATGGCACTCACTTGAAGCTGAGGGGATCAGGAGGATTTTGTCATAGAAGTAGTGACCAGAGAGCTGGGCGAAGGTGCTGGTGTGCTTGTGTGGGCCGGGACACTAGCTGTGTGGGTGCCATGTGGGCAGAGGTGGCTGCATGAGGCGGGCTGGACTGTGATGTTCCTAAGGGCTTGGGTCTGGCCCAAGGAACAGTGGAGCAGAGGCTTGTCCTAGCCTACTGAGTGAACGTGGAGTGTGTCCCAGAGGGCCCGGAGCAGGGCGAGGGAGCTGCCGGGGCCGACCTTTGGAGTTCCATGGTCTAACCACTATGTGATCAATTATGTCACTGCTTTGCTATCGTGTTTTACTAAAATTGAATATATTTATGGAACACGTGATGTTTTAATACACGTATATGTTGTGAAATGGCTAGATTCAGTTAATTAAATTTATTACCTGATATGCTTATCCTTTTCCGTAGTAAGAGCATTTACAATCCATTCTCTTAGCCATTTCCAAGTTTGTGTGGGTAAGACATGGTTGACTCTAGGCACCCTGCTGTGTGATGACCTCCTGGACTTGCTCCTCCTGTCTGACCAGCGTCCACCCCTGCCCTCCCCCGCCTCCAGGAACCACTGTCGTTGTACTCCACTTCCGTGAGTCTGTCTTCTTTTGATCCCCCACAGTTGTACACTCTGTCTCTTTGCCTTATTTTATTTAGCATATCTTTTAGGTTCATTCATGTTATTGCAGATATCAGTGGTTTTCCTTCTCTTTTTGAGTATGGAACCCAGGGCCCCACGCACACTAAACCTCCATTCTATCACTGCAGTGTACCTCCAGCTCTTTTCATTATACGTTGAGATATTCTCGCCAAGTTGCCCAGGATGAGCTCAAACTTGGAACCTTCCTTCCTCAGCCTCCTCATAGCTGAATTCACAGGTGTGTGCCGTGCTGCCAGCGCAGGGCTGGCATGGCTAGTGGTACTGGGGATGGAACCCAGGTCCTTGCATTTGCCAGGAAGGCACTTAGACTGCTGAGCTGTCTCTCTAGCTGAATAGTATTCTCATATATGCAAATACACCACATTTTCTTTATCCACTGGTGGACCCTTATCTTGGGTATTGTGAATAGTGGCTTAAGGAACAGCTCCCATCTTTTCCTCATAATTTTAACAGCCTCTGAGAAGGTGCCACTTTGGAGGGATACATGCAGGGACTGGAATAAATCTTAAAAGAGCGAAGGGTTTCTATTGAAGAGTACATAAGCTCTTAGGGACAGAAGAGTGGTCCCCACTGGTAGGGGTCCCCATCGTGGCCTGTTCAGGTGCTCTGGTCATTCGGGCTGAAGCGCGGGTCTGGAGGAGGCTGTCTCCTGGGTCTCGTTCCATGTGGCAGGAGCTTCGCAGTGTCATTGCCCGCACAGTGTTGTTCCTAAAAGCTGTCACATCTCGCAGTGGAACTTAGAAAGTGCAGTTTAGAAGGTAGTAAGTTGGTTTCATCTGAAACATGAAGATTTTTTTTTTTCTGAAAGGTGGTGGAAAGAATTTGGCCCTGGGTCTAAGTCTACCACCTTTGAGCTCTGTGGACGTGTTGGTAACCTTTTTTTTTTAATTTTTATTTGTGTGTGTGTGTGTGTGTGTGTGTGTGCGTGTGTGGCCAGTTCAGCCCACCAGGGGGCGGGGCTGGCTGGCATGTGGTGCTGGGGGATTGAACTGCGGTCCCTGTGCTTTGCTAAGCTTGTTCTAAGTAGGTGCTTTAGACCACTGAGCCATCTCACCAGCCCCTGGTAACCTTTTTTTAAAGCACCATTTTCTCACCTATGAAATGAAAGTCAAGAATAGTGATGGACAAGTATGAGTATGTGTGTATATGTGTGGACAGATATATGTGTGCACAGTGCACACATGGATACCCTGCTACATACCAGGCTAAGCATGTAGTGCATATTTTAACTTTGGATCCCCACAGTGATGTTAGGAGGTATAGTTATGGTCGTCATCCCAGGGTTGCAGATGATAGACCAGGGAGAGTAGCTAATCTGCGCCAGGTCCCACAGGGTTGGAGCCAGGATCTGAACACAGCCTGACCACCTGCAGACCTCCGGCCCCAGCCACTGCACTGCCCAGCCTCAGTGCGTGAAGGCTGGCACACAGGAAAGCCTCAGGTGAAGGGTCTGTCGAGTTGCACTTGAAGTGGACTTGAGGTTTCGGGAGCGGCAGCGCCCACTGCTGCCGCCTATAGATATTTGAGGCCCTCCATTCTGCTCTGCGGGGACCACGTGGAGGGAGAGCGGCGTGCACAGCCAGTCCACGTCTGTCCTTCTCACGTAGCTGAACTTAGCTGTGTTGATCTGTTTTGGGGTCTGCGTCATCCGCAGGAGGAGGACCATGGAGGGGCTTGAGCCTTCCTTGCCCTGCACATACAGAAGTATAATGTGTCCCCTTGATGTGTGTCCCACAGTTAGTTGTTGCCAGGGAGGCTAATGGCTTGCCAGCCCCTGCTCAGGGACAGCACACTTTTGCCAAGTGACTCCAGCATACTCATTCGCCTGGGAACCGAGGAGACCGGAAGCTGCTTAGGCCCTGCCCATCCCTCCAGCTGCGTGGGGTGTATCTCCAGTGTCCGCATGGTAGCGGAATGTGCTCCGTGGCCGGCAGGAGTAACGCTCATTCAGCATCCTTGCCAGAGTCCTTCTTCACTCGCAGTTAAGCAGTTGTAAAGACATTTGAGGGAAAAAGGATTTCGAGTTCTTTCCATTTCCTGGCCCAGTGAATCCTTCCTGGAGAAATCATAATGTTATAAATTTCATTAGGAGTATAAATCACAAAAGAACAGTTCCTTGACCTCAGCAGTTTATAATTTGTATGAGTCATAAATAAAAGCTGTATTAAAGCTAAACTGAGGAAGGTGATGCAGATGAAGATGTTGACGGTGTTAGCAAATGGGAGGCTCTATAGAAATAGCGTTCCTTTTCCCCTAGAAGGCGAAGTGCCATAGAAGAATAATGCAGCCTTCTTTAAAAATCCTAGCGTTAAGGTGCCAAGCGTAAATTGAGTCCACATGGTAATGAGGCTTTTAGGGGCAGAGCAATGGAATGGCCCGCTAGTGTAGGAGAATACATAAGAGGACACAAAGAAAGTGTTGCCCTGGCAACCAGGACCCAGGTGAAATTCAAGAGTGAGTGGAATTGGCAGGGCATCCCAAGCAGAGGACAGGAGTAGCATGAGACTGATTCACAATGGGAAGACCCCAGGTTATTAGTGGTCACAGGCAGAGAGGATAGGGAGAAGGGAGGAAGCTACAAGGAGTGCCGGTAACAGGTGCTGGGCTACTGTGCAGGAGGCTCCAAGGCCAATAAAGGTGCAAGTGTAGAGAATGGATTAAATTCATGCAGTAAGTGTCAAGGTCAAAGGAATTCATTCTTTCTTTTCTTCTTTCTTCTTTCTTCTTTCTTTCTTTCTTTCTTTCTTTCTTTCTTTCTTTCTTTCTTTCTTTGTACAAGAGTATAGCAGGATCATGACACAGGCTAGGGACATTCTAAATATACTAGGGTTAGTCCCACCTCCTGTGGGAGTGTGGGCCAGGAATGGAAGGCAGTGGTAACAAGTTCCTGAGCAAATAAGCTGAAAAAAAGAACACCCCTTGGGAAGTTTGAGGTGAGAGTAGGGATATTTTGTTCGTTTGTTGAGATAGGGTCTAACTATAGTTGAGACTGGCCGTGAACTCACAACAGTCCTCCTGCCTCAGCCTCCTGAGTGACAGGATTACAGGTACACTTGGGGGGGGGGGTCTGTTGACTGAATGCAGATTCAGCAAACGAGTCAGAGGAACAGCACGGTGAGGATAAGAATGTGGAGGGAGATGATCTGAGGGCCAGCACTTGGGGCAGGGCCAAGAGTAGCAGGAACCTGAGCCACAGTGGATTGGTGGGCCTCAAACTCTAGAATATTCTCTGGGACAAACTCTTCTGGTGCTGTTTCAGTGGGAGCTTTGGAGGCCTCTGGTCTTGCTTGGTGGTGCGTAGACACTGTGCTTCTTGTAAGATCTTCTTAAAGCCTCCACTTCCTGCAGAAGCTAACAGCTGACGCCGATTCTATGGAAGGATCAGGGTTCTGACTGAAGATATTTAGCTTCCAGCCTTGGGAATTTTCTTGGGCAGCACGGGAAATAACAAGTTTTGTAGAAACACTCCTAGAATGGCTGCGATCACTGCAGTCTCTGATTTCTAGGATCAGGAATGGAGTTGTCAGAGCAGGAGCCGTTCTTGTCTCATTCCTTCGGCTGATTCTCCGTGTGTTGCTCTGATTACCGCTGTAACCTGGCCTCTCCCTCTCCGCTTCAGAACCAGACTATCAGGTGTATCTGAATGCTTCCAAGGTCCCTGGGTTTGCAGATGACCCCACTGAGCTGGCATGCCGGGTAGTGGACATGAAGAACGCCGAGGCTGGAGTCCGTTTCACCGTGTCGTGGTACTACAGGATGAACCGGCGCAGCGACAGCGTGGTGACGAGCGAGCTTCTTGCAGTCATGGACGGAGACTGGACGCTGAGATACGGAGAGAGGAGCAAGCAGCGGGCCCAAGACGGAGAGTTTATTTTTTCTAAGGAGCACACGGACACATTCAGTTTCCGCATCCAAAGGACTACGGAGGAGGACAGGGGCAGTTATTACTGCGTGGTGTCCGCATGGACCAAACAGCGGAACAGCAGCTGGGTGAAGAGCAGGGACGTCATCTCCAGGCCCGTCAGTATATTTTGGGCATCGGAAGGTAGGAGCTTGATTCTGTGCGTTGGCTGTGTTTCTTTTGTTTTTGCTTGAGTCATTCTGTTGTGTATTCTCAGGTGCAGTCCCTAGGAATCAGTGCCGGATGCTAAGGGCCCATCGTCACCACGTGACTTTTGATGCCCTCTTTTGGCTTAGTGACTACCCTGCCCTGTGCTCCTGGTGCGGGAAGGTGATCTCCACCTCAGTCACTCGGCAGACCATCCTGCTTCCGGAACTTCATGTCTGAATGTTTCTTTCTCGTTCTTCCATGAAGCAGTGTCATTCAGCGGTTTCCTGTCACTCGGGAAAAATACTGGGAAACACAGCTTAGAAGCAGCCGTGTTTATTTTGGCTCAGGCTTTCCGAGATTCCATTCCACAATCTGCTGGCTTCATCGCTTTGAGACTTGTGCCGGAGCAGAGCCAAGTGGCAGAAAGGTGTGGCTGGGGAGGGCTGAGCCAGGAAGAGCAGAGGGAGAGGGAGCCAGTGACAGAGGTGTCCTTTCGGATGCCACCCCATGACCTAACCACCTCTGCAGGGTCCACTCAGCTGTAGACTCATCAGTCATTTTATTGATTAGTCCATTGATAAGGCCAGCACACGCATGATCTAGTCAGCCCAGAGCCCCTCACCTGAATGTTGCTGTCGGAGGAAAAAAGCCCGCTGCACGCAAGTCTTCGGGGGCCACCTCACACTGGAGCTTGTGACAGTTACCAAATTACTCTGAAGATGCTGTTCCCCCTGGAGCCCTCTAGGTGGCGTTCTTTCTTTGCCACCATCCTCATGTGCCTGCATCTACTGGAGGGCCTGGTGTCCCCATTGGAGCCCCAGACCACTGTGTCTTGGCCCCAGGACACCTTGCCACGTCCCTCCTGTCTTCAGACCACACCCCGACTTCCCATACTGGCTGTTGACTCCTAGGCCTCCATTCATTTGTTGGCCATGTTTACTTCAGCTTCCTAGCCATTGCTTCTGTTTCTGCTCCTGTCTTGGTAACTTCATCAGAATCACCAGGCGAGCTCTAGGGACAGCCCCCACAAGTCCGCCAGGCATTTTCTTTCCGTTGCTGTAAGGTAAAGCAGTCTGGGCTGCGTAGCTGGATTCTCATGTGTATCCAAGGTGCAAGCCCTAATGGAGCTAGTCCTTACACTCGGTCCTTGGCTTCCTCCCTGAACCCCCGTCTCCCATCCTCTTTGGTGTTTATCTCCCTGTACACTGCATTAGATCAGCTTGCGTCTGACGATCTCAGTTCCATGCCCTGTTCTCTAAATATGTCCTCTTTCTGCTCTCCAAAAACAACCCATCAA